TGGCCAGGGAGGACGGCCTCTGACATGAAGCCTACACACCTTACCAGGAGAAATTTCCAGGAACTGGGAGTAAAAAGGCATCTTCTGTCCAATGGGCAGGGATGGAGTCTTGCCAGGAATGCAGCTCAACCCATTCTTAGGAACAGGGAGGGGAGCCAAATCGCCTGCTTTATTTGGAGGTGGGGAGTGGAGTCTCGCAAGCAGCAGTAGCCAAGAGGTGACTTTAAACAGCTCTGCTGACCCATACGCCTCTCTGGCCAAACTCTGGGCTCCCCCAATTCTGTCAGGGCACCTCGCGGGCCTTCAGGCCCAACTAGACCAGCTTGCTGTTCCTTCCAGTCTCGACTCCGCCAGCAGCTCTCTGCCCTGGCCCTCAGGCCTTCGGCCCCAAACAGCCTGGCGAAGGCCTGATGCTGAGAAAAGGGTCCGTTCGTGATGTGGTGGCCGGCCAGGCAAGCCCCTGGAGAAAGGGGCATTTCCTTGATATGATCTAGCATGATATTCTTATCAATAAACTAGGCAGATACAACTTAGATGGGGCTACTAATAAATTGCCCAGGGAGGTTGTGGAATCCCCATTTCTGGAGATATTGAAGAGTAGGTTAGATAAATGTCTATCAGGGATGGTCTAGACAGTATTTGGTCCTGTCATGAGGGCAGGGGACTGGACTCGATGACCTCTCAAGGTCCCTTCCAGTCCTAGTATTCTATGATTCTACTATATGGTGAGTGCATAACTGGCTGGATAATCGTACTCAGAGAGTAGTTCTTAATGGTTCTCAATCCTGATGGACAGGTGTAACAAGTAGGGTTCTGCAGGGGTCTGTTTTGAGACCGGCTCTGTTCAATATCTTCATCAACCATTTAGATATTGGCACAGAAAGGACACTTTTTACGTTCACAGGTGATAGTGAGCTGGGAGGGATTGCAAGTGCTTTGGAGGATAGGGTCATAATTCAGAATGATTTGGAAAAATTGGAGAACTGGTCTGAGGTCAACAGGATGAGGTTTAATAAAGACAAATGCAAAGGCTCCACTTAGGAAGGACCAAACAGTTCCACACACAAATAATGGGAAGGGATGGAGGTTATGGAATCTCTATCTGTGGAGATATTGAAGAGCAGGTTAGATAAATGTCTATCAGGGACGGTCTAGACAGTACTGGGTCCTGCCATGAGGGCAGGGGACTGGACTCGATGACCTCTAGAGGTCCCTTCCAGTCCTAGTATTCTATGATTCTATGATTCCTTGCAGGGGCAGCTGTGAGGAGGGCAAATTAAGGCCTGTTCTCTATAGCCCCCCCCACCTGCCTCAACAACCCCTGGTTGTGTACTGGGCCCCCCATTAGCCCATGGAGTGTGAGTTGCACCCCCTACAGCCCAGCAGAGATTGGAAGAGGAGCTGTTTGAGGAAGGAAACGTTCACAGGGCAGGAGAGCCCCTGGAAGTCTTGTCTCTGCTTAGCCGTTAAGGCTGTTTTGAGGGAAGTGGATCGCTCCAGAGGTGCTGAGGCCGAGCTCCTGGGCCCAGCCCCTCCTGCCCAGTGCCAGCCTGTCATGCCCAAGTGCTGGGCCCAGAGCTTGGTTTGTAAACCAGATCTGCAAGGCTTGTAGGAGGAAGAAAGAGCCTGACGCAGGGACCTGGCATAAGGCCAGACCCAAAGTGAGCTCCTGTTACACTAGGAGTAACAGGCAGGGCTGGGCCAAAGCAGACGTTGCCTGCAGATCAGAGTCTGGAACATGAAATCAGTAGCGGTACGGCTAACCCTGCGAAAACACCTGGAACACGTAAATCCATCCTGTAGGCCAAGGGAAGGACACCCCACCCAGCACAGAATGAAAGAGTTGGACAAAAACGATGAACTGAAAAAACAAAATCTCCCCAACCGGTGGGAATAGGCAGGCTGTGCCTGAAATAGCAGGAGGAACGTACACCAAACAGTAACATGTCATTAACGGATAAGATAATAGGGGAGGTGGGTATCACAGGTTGTTTATCTCGGTCTGTAAAGGTCGGGGTACCTCCACGCAACCCTTTGACCGGCCGAGGGAACACATTCTTCGCAGCCTCAGAGAGTCAACCGGGCGCTATTCGTGTGCTTTGTCGACAGCAAACCTGACTCAGGTGTCTTCATATCCAATCTAACTCTGGTCTTTGGGGGCTCTCTCAAAGTCTGCCACACTGGCTGCTTGTGCAAAGCCAATGCAGCTGTGAACGCACACACCGCCAGACGGTTATCCCCTGGGCTGAGCCAGAGACCCCACCGGTGCCTTCTGACCGATCTCAGCCTGCTTCCTCTTCCTCCTGGGCCTGAGCAGTTCTTGGCTTCTCAATACACTGTGCAGAAGAGAGTTCAGGGGAGACATTTGCAGCTACACCAATGCTTAAGGTGTGAAAACGAGAAGACAATGTGACTGGGGAAACAAACTGATCGTAGCCCTTTCTTGGTTAACACACTGTAACCCCCTCTTCTCTTCCTGGGTTCCTCGAGAGCAGGCCATGCTCACTTGTGTGCCTCTTCAAAACTGAAGGAAACTTGTCTCTCTGGCATTTACCCAACCTTCATTTACCCCAGCGGGTGCGCCCCTCAGGATCTCAGAGTCTCCGACACAGGCTGGCCGGGGTGCACTTGAAGCTCTGCCACTGAAGTGGAGACCACATGGGGCAGGCAAGGTGTGTGTGTGTGTGTGTGTGTGTGTGTGTGTGTGTGTGTGTGTGTCAGTCCAGGCAGCAACAACTGCCCAATCCCTCTACCAGTGTCACAAGGAAGAGGGAGAAAAATTGTTTGTGTGGAGTTTTCTCCCTTTCCCCTTCATCCTTCAGGGCATTCTGAGACCTGCTGCTGCCAGGAATCCTCTGGTGATTTTCTCCCTCTCCTGGCCTGACCAAGCCCTGGCTGGTATGAGGTAGTTGGAATTGGTCCTGCTTTGGTCTGGGGGTTGGGCTCAATGGCCTCCTGAGGCCACTTCCAATTCTGGGATTCTTCTATTTGCAAGTTGGACTCCGTCTGGTCTAGCGCCCCCTATTGGTGGCCAGCAACTCTGCAGACAACTTCTGTGGAGGAAAAGGAAATTCTGCCCGCACACCAGAGGTGTCAAATTCCCCAAGAACAGGGCTGCTCAATCATTTTGGCTCATGGCCCACCCAGCTCAATGCAGACCTTTCCACGGACCACCAGCCAACCACCAATGATGACAAAATGGGTGCAAGAGGGGTTAGGGTCTGTCCAGGAGGTTGGGTGCAGGAGTGGGGTGGTGAGCTGGAGCAGGAGGGAGGGTGTAGGAGCAGGGTGATGGCTCAGAGCAGAAGGGAGGGTGCGGGAGCGGAGCGGTGGGTCAGACCTGGAGAGAGGGTGCGGGAGCGGGGCGGTGGGTCGGAGCGCAAGGGAGGGTACGGGGATGGGATGGTGAGCTGGAGCAGGAGGAAGGGTGTGGGAGCAAAAGGGAGGGTGCAGGAGCGGGGTGCGGGGCAGGGTGGGAGGGAAG